AGATGTTTTTCATACAAGAAAACAACACAATGAAGAATCGTCACAGCATTTGTTGCTGATCTGAAAGGGCCAAGCCAGACACGCCTGTATCAGCTTGAACCAAAGTTGTCACATATATGTTTGTATGTGCTGGTTGTAGACTATTTTTCTCACCATCCAGAAATTGTCTTACTAACTTATACCACAGGTTCTCAGGTGACTGAACAAATCCAAGTTCATATTTGCTGGGCATGGCATTTCTGAGGTGGTTTGGCTAGCTAACGGCCCTCAGTTTGCTTGCCATCTGTTTAAGAACTTTTCAAAAGTATATGGGTTTCTCCATATCGTTTCAAGGCTCAGATAATCTCAGTCAAATGTCCTTGTTGAAAATGGAGTACAAATTGCCAAGAAATTGCGAAGGAAAGCACAGGAGGTAGACACTGACCCAAACCTGGCATTGCTGAATAATAGGGTATTTCCACTAGAACATGGAAAAGCACCTGGAGTGCTTCTGTTTGGAAGGATTAGTTGAACAATGTTGCCCAACTTATTAGAGGTTGTGGAAATGGCGTAGTTTGAAGTACACTTCCAAAAAGGCTCTACGAAATTTAAAGAAAAGGCATACTACGACAATGACTTGCAGAATATTGTAAAATATTGCAGCCAGCTGCACATGTATGATGGCTCCACATGGAAACTGACTGCAAAGGTTACTAAGGAAGAGGCTCCATGCTCATACATTGTCTCCACATTAGATGGGCAGTCATAAAGGAGGAATAGATGGCATCGTTATTATCAGAAAGGGGGAGAAGGGAGAGCAAGGCTCCATTAAGAGATGGGCTGGAAGGAATAAAGAATGATTGGAAAGACCAAGGAGTGAAAGAAGAAAGAGAGTGGAAGAGCAGAAGCCAAAGGGTCATCTGAGGTGGAGAATTCAGTAAAACGTTTGTTGTTAGCTCACAGCAGTTTCTAGCTTTGATCCATAATACAAGGAACAACCCAGAGCTCTGCCTTTTACTAAGCCACCTCAGTATTGTCTACGCATTCTCTCAGTATCGTCTACACCAAGTAGCAGCAAATTCTCTATGGTCATAGGTAGGGAACTGAGCTTTTTCAGCCCTATCTGGAAGTACTGGGGATTGAACCTGAGGCCTTCTGTGTTCAAAACCTGTGCTCTACCACTAAGCTATGGTTGTTCCCCATGAGCTAAGGTTCTTCCCTGAGGCTGTATTCTATGCTCTAATCACTTGCCACCCTGTCTCATATGGGTTTGCAGGTCAGCCAAGTACAGAACAACATATATCATGGTATATGCATAGGTTGCAAAGTTTAATCAGTGCTTAACCAGTAAATTAATCAACTGCAGCTTTAGTACCAAAAGGGGGGGGGGAGAAATCCCTCAGTTAATCACTAGGCCATAGAGCAAGAAAAAAAAACATTTTGAACTTTTATTCACTACTGGGCAGGCCACAGATATATTCACACAGAGATAAACACTGTAGGGAGTTTGACATGTAAGAAAAATTGTCTGTCCTTCATTATTCTAAGAAAAAAAGGAGGGAGGGTTGTCACAGAGGTTTTACAATGTTTAAGCATTTAAAAGGTTAAACTCAGGGCTTTTTATTGAAACTCAGTTCAAGCACCTCTCATGTGGGCGTCATTGCCATTATAAGAGAACAAGGTTCATGGTGAATTCCAGTATACCTCCTTTTCTAGTAAAATAGCACTGGTTCAACTAACTGTATTTCAGAAATCATAGAAAAAGATGTCAGTGGAATGATATGCACTACACAATCATTGTGCATATAGTGCTTGGTCAACATGTTGTGGTTTTAGTAGGTACACATTACAAAATGGGCTTGGGCGTGTTTGGCCAGTCTAGTGAGACAGTGTCACACAATGCCTTTCAAAACTGCAACCCAGTCATCCTGGTGGAACATACCAAAAGTAGCTGTCATGACTCCTAAATTTAATAAAGGTGGGCCAAGTAAGGAAGGGGTAACTTTATGGGGGAAAGGAGCAGATTGATAGACATTTTTATTTCAGTAGGTTTTCACTGCCTAGTTAGAGATATTATTACAATTGCTGAAGTCACTGAAATCAAACTGCACATTCAGAAATACCGTGGAGTACTGTACGCTTTCCATGCACATTGACAGGCATTTTAATATGTGACCCCTCCTCACCAAAGTCTGAAGTAGTACAGTCCAACGGGAACTGTGTCATGTGGTACTTCTAAATGCAAAGCTCAACTCCGATATTGGGTTATATGGGGGGAGAGATAAATGCTGACATCAAGAAAATAAAATTAAATATGAAACTCGAGTAAAGCGTGTCATTGCTTTGTCTGTCAGTGGCCTACATCCCAATGTTTAGAAGAAAATAAAGTACTCGCATTGTAAGAAGCCAGCTTTGCAACAACACAGGCATAATTTTCTTCTTGATCTCTACCCGTTCATTCGCTGAACAACACACTACCCAAAATTATAACAGCTGTCCCCGCACACCATTTTAATCCATGTAAGCATATAATCCTTTTAGGAGCTGTATTAAGACATTTGCCTGAATAATTTTGTGTCACAGAGCACTTTGCAAAGTAAGTAACTATATGCTAAAATATTTCATGTGTTGCCTTTTAATTTCATTTGGTACACCTCTGCTCTTCTTGTTGAAGCAAAATAAAAGGAAAAACTGTCCAAAAACATGCAAAAGAAAAAATGAAAATACACCAAGCCTGAATATTTTAAACATTTAAACTGTTTTTCCATTGAATCTTTTTCATAATGTACTATTTGCAAAACTGTAAACTGATTAATGGGGAACAATGCCCACTTTATATTCCCAAACTATACAATATATAGGTTATCGTTGTCTACGATATTATTTATTTAGAATGCTTATAATCTGCTTTATTGCTCTGAGAGGCCCTTCAAGCATCTTACAAACAATTCTCAGAATAAAAATCCATTGCAAAACTCAATTGAGAAGAGTGTTTGAAAGTTTCTGGCCTTCGAGACATCAACATCTGCATAACTGCTATAAGAATTGCAGTTTTATTGATGTTTTTAAAATATGTGATCGTAAGTGCATGTTATGAAAGTAACTATTGTATAGAAGTCAGATACCAATGCATCCTAATGGTCTTAGTAGAATATATTTTATTCTAAATACTTCCCATATATGAAACTAAACATTGTTTTGCTATCCTATGGTTGGGAGTTCGGCTTGAGTATGTGGTCAAGGTGGGTCTAGGGATGGGAAGGAAAATCAATTTTCATTTGCAATTTAAGGAGAAACTGCCTAATTCATACTTCTTGAACCAATATGCAAAACAAAACACAGTTATCTTTAGAAATTCAAAATCTGAATTTTGCGATGCAGTTCCCTGACCAAGCAATGTATACCTAAAAGATGCATGTATCAGGGATAAGTGTGCCTAAGAATGCATACGTTAGTGAAATAACATGCATGGCTGCATGACATTATGGAAATTTGGTTGCAAAGGTGTGTGTGTTAGTCAGAACTGCATACAAAAATGTGTCCTTAGGAGAAGTTCACACTAAAGCGCTGATGAATTTTTCATTAGGATTTCATGTTGAGAACTGCATTAAAGATTGGGGAAATGAGGAACTGAGATACAGTGAAATTGTTGCATTTGTCCATCCCTACTTAGGCCTCTTTCTTTTTTTCTAGTTAGATATTCTGAAAACATCCTATGGATCACTCTTCACACATGGGTGTTTTTCCTGTTATGCTGTAGAACACCACCCCACAGGCCAACACACAGAACATCATGTGTGCTGTCATGGACATGTTTCTGTTTTATCATGTGGAGGCCTTGAACATGCGCAACACATATCCTCAAGACAGTGTGGGCACATGCATGATTCTTACATGCATGGGGATAAACCTAGGATTTTCATACAGCTGTGCAAGGGGAGGGATGAAGGCCCTAGCTGTCTAGGAATTATGACGTGGGACTAAATCAGACACATAGCCAAGTACTACAGTTGTTCTATAGCTTGTGGATCAGGAACCAATGCAGGTCCCTGGAACTTTAAATTCATTTCAAGCCTCTTGGGGATGGTGACCTGAAATGCTTTTGCATTCATGAAGATTGATTATTGCAGTGCTTCCAACACCGCATGCTAAATGTAATCTTTGAACCCATCAACATTAGCATGAAGTACATGAGGGTTAAATTAAGAAGCTTGCCGTGAACACCAGTGGAATCAAGATGCCACTTCCCCTCCCAAAATTCTTCAACCTGTTTTTTAAAATCTATTAGTATACAGAAACAATACTACTTCTGTTGTTAATAAGAATATCTACATATGCTTCCAGCAGTTTAGCTGTCAGTGAAATCTAGTTGGTGCCACTACATTGACCAAAGGTGAATAGGGAGGCAGGTATTCCTCCTTCTTCCTGCAGAGCCATAAAATCTACTCCAAAAGGTCTCTCAACCTTGTGGAATATATATTTTTGTTTGGGTGTGCACGCGCAAAGGACTGTAAATGGGAAGAGGAAACCTGAAAACAGCCTCTCTCGACTCATACTTTCTGTCTATGGAGCAACACAAACTGGATTCTACTCTTGTGTATTTTGGGATGGATTGCTCTAGAGCTATAGTGAAATGTAGAGCACAGCATTAATTTGGAGCAAGTCCTTCTTTGAAGTTAAGGTTTCCCTTGTCAGACTCAGGATGGTGTTCTTCAGCTATACACTGTGTGAAAAATTGCCCCGGGCCATGGATCTCAAATATCATGATCCCCAAATTAACAGTACCTCTCAGCAGAACTGACAAATAGGTATCAGGGTAATTATGATAAACTACACAACAGTGCTATTGTCGAGAATATCATTTATCAATCCTGTGGTCCCCATCATTCATGCATTTTACAGTTTGGGAATACAGTGACTTCAAAGAATAATAATCCATAATGGCTACATTCTCAAAAAGTCATGCTCACTAAACAAAATAATAGTAATAATAATAATCATAATAAAAGGTTTGTTGTATAACTGGAAAAATGTAAAATTTTATTCCAAGAAAATTAACAGGCTACACAGGTAAATTTTGGCAAATGCAACTTTATATTGAAATCCACACATCTGTATCTAAAAGAAGGAAAGACTCACAGACTCTAATGTATTTTCTAAAATACTAGAAATCATATTATATGCTTTCACAAGTTAAAATTGAAATAATTTGAAACAACCAATACACCAAAATGTGCAGAAAGTATAAACAAGACTGTGCCTTCAGTAGAATAGATGCTTCACAAATTGTGCAATATATCTTACTAAGGCTGCGGTCTCCCCATGACAGTTGTCTTAAAAATATAAACATACATTGTCTGCCTGTGTTTCTCAGAACAAACTAGAATGGGCAACATACCTTAGGGCGGGGGAATATAATCCTAGTGATGAGCATACTGATTTGGGGAATCATGAGAATAAAAAAGGAAAGAAGGGATTTTAAGTGATCTTTCATGCACTCCCAAATGGCAGACTGGAGTTAACCGATTCACTTTCTTTGCTTATTTCTAAAATGCTAAACAAAATGGAAGATACTAGATAACCCTTTAAGGCAACATGTGGTTTATTCTGCGTAATGATTACTCCTTTGTCATGATTGGATAATCTCATTGATGTTGCCTAACAGACTGATATCTAGCTTTCGAAAATATAAAATGCATCCAATAAAAATTATAGCAAATCGTGATTTTTTTTTAAAAAAAACAAAAATCAAACAAGACATAGAACACAATTATATGCCAGTAATACTTCAGCCTGGAAACAAACAAACAAACAAACCAGTATTTCGTTTTGTGGGGGATGGGGGCGAATGGCAGCAGGTGGGTGGGTGAAAGACGAAGAATGTATTTAGAGAAAAATAAAACCTAAGTTGAAAAAACAACAAGGGGAAAACCTCCCCAGCAACAACCCAAAAACACAAAACTGCTTTGTAATGCTCCCCAGAACTCACAAGGCAAATGTGGGGTGATAATCCAATACTAAATGGCACATCTCCCATTGGTTACAGGACTTAACACAGTCCCCAGATTTTTGTATTTGAAAAACAGTAATTGTATGAAATGATCTAAAGGTCATCCAGTGTCTTAAATAGTTTCATCAACACATTAACCTCATGTCAAACTTAACTGATTCAGATGTCCAATTTTAATCTTTTTGTGATGGTCTTACTTTTATGTAGTGATATATACAGCATTGAGCGCTGATATATTTAGCACCTGCTACTTTCTGAATCACGATCTAGGTTTTCCACCACATCAAAGCATTTCAGGGCAGTGGCTCAGTCCTTTACTCTTAATTTACAAACCTTCGCGAGTGGCCAGCAGAAACAAGTTTAGGTTTCGAAATAGGATTAGAGATGAGCTATTGCAAAGATTGCAGGACGTCGTTGCCCAAATCCTTACAACCGCTGACAGCCCGTTTGATTTCCCCCTCCCCCCTTTTTTCCTTTTCTTCTCCAGACATGGCAACAGGCCACAATTGCTTAGCAGAGAAGGGTAGTGTTTTCACAAGGCTAAAGATTTTACAGATGCTCCCTCATATAACACAGTAAGGTTCCCTTGGTAACCTGGATTTTCTGCAGTAAAGAAGGGTTGTGCTGAAACAGCGCCTCAGCTCCCTGTTGGAGAAAATGCAGACAAAAGGATTGATTCCAGCTTGGGCAAAACTCATCCAAACAGCAGCCGTTAGAAATCCACCTGGAACCACAGGCCCTCTCGCGAAAACTCTCCAGTAACAGGCGACCAGATACGGGCCCCACAAGGTTAGGAAGAGGAATGTCATGATATAGAACATTCTGCTGATTCGTTTTTCCATTTTGAACTCATCCAAGACAAGCAGCCTTCTCCTCCCTGTGGTGTTGGCATTTTGCCTGATCCCCAGCAAGGTTGGTGGCGTGGGACCCCTTCCAAATCCAGCCAGCCAATTTGCAGCTGCTTGACCACTGGCTCCTGGACCATGAAACGTCCAGTTCTGGCTCACTGCTGCAACAAACTGAACTGGCTTCATTTTCCTGCGATCGTGAACGAAAAAGATCAGCTTGAGGTAGACAAGCTGTGTGGCTAGAAGGATAAGGGCGAGAAGCAGCATAAATCCCAGAGAATCATTGGCTCTGAAGGAGCGATGCTGAAAGGTACACTGGTCTTCCTCCCTAATGAATGAATAGGTGCCCACATCCAACACCGGAGGGAAAGCCATAGCGACGGAGAGGGTCCACACCATACAAATCACAGCCAAACAAGTCCAGAAGGTCAGCCTTTTTGTATAAAAGCGGTGGTGGGCAATAGCTAAGTATCTGGTAACGCTTATGCAGAACAGCATGAAAGCGGTGTGGAAACAAGACAGGACCCCCAAGAAGGCAATCACTTTGCAAGTGAGAGTCCCGTACGTCCAAGATGAGCCATTTTTCACGGAAGTGAAAACAAATGGGAAGCAAATTGCAGATCTGAGGATGTCTGAGCAGCAAAGATCCAACAGGAAGTAATACGGAGCTCTGTGCAAGGTCTTGTCTTTGACTAGCAAAATGGAGATCAGAAGGTTACCCACCACACTGACTCCTATGATGAAACCCAGTGAAGTCAATTTCAAAAACGCTGTTAGAGGGGAGAGATTTTGTAAAATGTTGTCAGCTGCATGGCTGTAGTTCGCCATAGATGGACGAATGATTTGAATATTGCCTCAGTCAAGTCTCATGATCTAGATAGATGTATAAGGAAAAAATAGATCCATACATCTTACTGAAAATATATTCCAAAAGCAGATCTGATCTGGTGTCTGTCTAGTCACATAGTACATCCTCTTTTCCGCTTCCTGATTTATCATGCCATCAAAATATCTGGAAAAAAAAAATCAAGCTATCAGTCCTTAAGTTAACATACAAATGGTGTTGGGAGGTGCTAACGAATATGTTAATTTATGGAGAGCCAAAGGAAGTTGCAAGTTGGAGTACTATTATTTGTTTGAGGGAAATTCAGTGAGAACTGCACACTTACTATGCATTGCTTCACTTTATTCCTTCTTGTTTACAATCAATTTTTTTTGGCAGAGTATAGAATTGTACAGTTCCTGTCTCTGAAGCTTCAGAGGCAACCCAATTCCTACATCATCATTCCGGTACTGGCAGCTTAAAAATAAAATAAAAAATGCCAAGGAAGAATGGTTGCCCATAAATGCCCACCTTTTCTGTTGATATTGTGTGTGTTTCAGAGGCAGATGCTGTGTTGATATGGAACACATCCAAAAGAAACCCTGCAGAATGTATGTTTTTAACCAACTCGCCAAAGCATATTAATCACACCCTGCTAGTTCATGCACAGTGAAAGGAGACAACAGGAATCCTGGTTTTGCAATGAACCAAAGCTCCCCTCCCCCACTAGACTTTTAAATAAATACCTAAGCTAAAGAATTGCCATATGGGCATATATATATTCTCCCCCCCCACTTCATTGCAGTGGGGTGTGTGTCACCACCCAGCTATGTATTTACATAGCTAAATATGAAACGCACCCCTGGAAGAACATCCGCCAGCTCCGGTTTGTATTTTTGACCAGCACGGAATGCGAGGATCTGTGTCTGGCTAGTCAGAATTCCAGGATTTCTCCTAATGCCGCCTGTCAAAATGTAATTAACAAAGACCCACTCTGCTGCTTGCAGGGCTCTAGCAGCCACTCCACGGCGGCGGCGGAGTCAGGCAGCCTTGCTCGCCTATCCCCATGGATAGGTTCCTCCTATGCTGTCTCTTCTGAGCACTACACACACACAGAGCATCTTCACAATAGATTCCACCATTCTCAGCTTTTAGGAACTACCTGCCTGCCTGCCTCCCTGCTTGCTTGCTGCGTAAACAAGAGCCTTGATCAGATCATGAGTGCATTGTTACACACGCAGGCAACACACACACACACACACACACACACACACCATGAAACCAGCTTCTCCCACACCCCGATACATGCACATACATACGCGAGGCAGCAAAGAGGGCTGCTTGCTTGGCTGCCCGACTTCTTTCTTCCCCAGCCCAGATGCTCAGACTTGCCCAGGGGCGCCAGATCTCCGAGCCAGCCCCGCCGTGCAGGCATCGTTGTCTGCCCTACGCTTCCGTTATGCAGCCCTGTGATAAAAAATTTTAAGACAACAACACCACCACCACCACCACCACACACAAACACATACACACTCACGGAACCAGCCTCCTTCCAGCCGCCAATTCCCTTCTCCCCACATCCCATCCAGCCCTGCCCAGGAGATGATGCACACACACACAAATACACACACAAACACACAAAGCCCCCCTCCCCCCGCAATACCTGTTGGTGCTGGTGTGTGTGTGTGTGGGAGAGAGAGAGAGAGAGAGCCCAGACCTCCCCACCCCCCCCCTCTCCCTCACCAGATCTCCTTTCTATTTGCTGGTATTTTCATGCCTGGCTTTTATTTCTTCCTTTTCCAGCAGGGTACCTTGGCGGAGGCGCTGGAGCCAGTGGGTCCGGGCGGCGCATGCTCAGTGCGCTCCCTCCAGCTCCTTGCCTCGTCTTCCCCTGTCGCAGCGGCACAATCTCGCTCTCGCTCTCGCACTAACGCAGCGGCAGCAGCAGCAGCCGACGCCGCCGGCTCAATGAGGGCAAGGCAGCCTCGGCAAGCGGTAGTAGCAGCTCCGGCGGTGGCACGCTGCCGCCGCCGAGTCTGGCGTTGGCCCTCGGAGCGGGGCGCGGGGCTTGGGACCAGCCAGCCAGCCAGCCGCCTTTGAACCCGCCCGCTTTCGAGGGAGGGGGCGGAGGAGCAGCTCCCCGCGCACCCCCTCCCCTAATCTCTCTCTCTCTCTCTCCCTCCTGATGATGACTGCATTGTTATTGCACTTGGCAGACGAGGGGAGGGAGGAGGGACAAGCATTCTTGGAGTCTCCCTCCTGCTCCTCCTGAACTCTATGCCGTCGGTTCTCCCCTTGGCAAAGGGAGCACGGCTGTTTGGTTTAATTGCAAAAAAACCCCCACAAAATTATCCTTTGATTTCTTCCCTTTCTCTTTCTCTCTCTCCCTCCCCCCCCCCCCCCCCCCCCGTAAAAAGGCTGCAAGACCTTCTGTGCCACGCTGCTGGTTGTAGCTAATCAATTAATGGGTGGTCAGGCTGGACCTCATTATCTCTCTCTCCCCCCCCCCCCACTTCTTTTTGTGGTAGTTACCCTGAAACCATTTCCAGAAAATGAAGCAAGTCCTAGAAATGTATACAGTACATTTAACTGGTAGAGGTCCCAACTTCTGGCGGTTGTGTATATGTGTGTGTGTGTGTGTGCGCATATGCAGTGGTACCTCTGGTTGCGAACAGGATCCGTTCCAGAGGCCCATTTGCAACATGAAAGGAGTGCAACTCGCAGCGGTGTGTCTGCGCACGCACAGGTTGCGATTTGCCGCTTCTGCACATGCGCGTGGTGTCATTTTGCGCGTCTGCGCATGCGAGAGTGGCGAAACCCGGAAGTAACTTTTCCTGTACTTCTGGGTCACTGCGGGACGCAACCTGAAAAAACGTAACATGAAGCAAACATAACATGAGGTATGACCAGATGGGCAGGGAATAATAATAATACAGTGGTACCTCGGGTTAAGTACTTAATTCGTTCCGGAGGTCCGTTCTTAACCTGAAACTGCTCTTAACCTGAAGCACCACTTTAGCTAATGGGGCCTCCCACTGCCGCTGGGCCGCCGGAGCACAATTTCTGTTCTCATCCTGAAGCAAGGTTCTTAACCTGAGGTACTTTTTCTGGGTTAGTGGAGTCTGTAACCTGAAGCGTATGTAACCTGAAGCATATGTAACCCGAGGTACCACTGTAATAATAATTGACAGGGAACAACAACAACAACAACAATTCCCTGCCCATCTGGCTGGGTATAAATATTATACATTATTATTATTATTATTATTATTATTATTATTTAGGGTACAGAAGGGGAAAGATGCATTTCTTGGGAAAGCAGGGAGCTTTGTCCCACACTAGAATTTTGAAAAAGAAACAATGGCATAGTTCGCACAACATTCTCACCCCAAGTATATTTTCTCCATTGAATTCAATGAAGCAAACTTTCAAGTAAGCATTTGAAGTAGCAATTAAAATTCATTATACGTTTTTAGATACAGTTTGAATGTGAAAAGCAATTTGCTATGTTTGTGTGAGGGGGTGCTTTTTAGGAAACCATGCATGTCCCTTTCTGGTCCTCCCATGCTGTCATTCTTTATGCAGCATTTCTCTCCACCTAGGTCTTGAATTTAGGAATTCTAAACATTCTCATTTGGGGACGTGAAAGAGCATGGCCTGCCTCCGCCAGTTCCTGACAGTGTGAAAATAAGTGAGGGTTTTGTGTGGAGCACAGGGGAGATGTGCATTTCAAAGCTATGAGTTTCCAAGCTTCTTTTAATAGGTGTGGGAAGGGATCTATGCTTCTTGTTCAGCTTTGATGTTGCACTATCAATTAATTATGGTCTATTTAGGACCATACACCTGAGGGTTTTTTTTTTAATCTGACAAGGAACATATATGTGTGTTATGGGATTACAATACGGGTGAGTAGATTTTAGGCTTCACTCCCTTCCTCCCGCCTCCTCTCCACAAGATCTGCAAAGCAGAACCAGGTGTAGAAGACAAAAGAGTGAAAGAACAAGGTGTCTCTGAGCCTACACTGAGTGTAGGAATTCATTTGCAGCACCAGAGGACACAGTTCTTTCCCACAAAATTCCACTCCTTGCTAGCCTTCTTCACTGCAGTAGCCTGTTTTTATTTATTTTTTGTATTGATAATCTTCCTTTTTCCCTTCAAGGAGGCATACATGGTTCTGCCGCTCCTCATTTAATTCTCTACAACCACCCAGTGAGGTAGGTTAGGCTGAGAGGCAGCGAGTGGCCCAAGGTCCCCCCTTGAGCTTCATGGCTGAGTGGAGATTTGAACCTTGGTCTCCCAGGTCCTCGACTGATGCTCTAATAACTACACCACACTGGATGGGAAAAGCTGGAATTGTTTTGTTAAACATTTGGGAGTCAGAAATCCTTGCCAGCCAACTGCAGATAACCCAGAGATCTGCCACTACAGCTCAGTCTGCCCACCTCTCATCTAGAACAAGAGAGGGGGGGTGTCCAAAGTTGCCAACACATTCCCTGACAATGATAAATAAATTTATCAAGTTACTAACTTACCATAGTGTGCCTTTAAGCAGTTGACAAGATGGTCCTCAATAACACAGCAAGTTAGAGAAGAACTATATCACTTCCCTAACACTCCATTTTCAAATCAGAAGTGGAAATTTGACCAATGTTTGTATCCAACACTCAGAGTTGACCCATTGAAACTAAAGGACCTAAGTAGGGCATGCTTATTCATTTCAATGGGGCTACTCTGAGTAGAATTTTGACAGTGGATACAACCCCAGAGTCTCAGTGCTTGCTAAGAAAGTTACCTATGTGCTGTAGGAAGTTGTCGTAAATGTACATCTGTTTTCATCCTAACAAACAGGATTGCGTGTGTGGGATTGTAATATTCCGATGTTCTTTCTTCTCTGGCCTTTTTAGATGAAAGTAAAGTGAGGAGGTGAAGAACCATTCTAGTGGGACAAATCAGAACGAAATGCGATATAAAAATGTGTGGTGGTTAGAATGTTGGACGAGGACCTGGGAGGTGAGGGTTCAAATCCCCACCTGGCCACGAAGCTCCCTGGGTGACGGTGGATTAGTCACTGTCTTTCAGCTGAACCTACCAGGGTTGTTATGGGGGTAAAATGGAGAGGGGAAGAACCTTGAGCTCCTTGGAGGAATGGTGGAATATAAACATAATAATAATTCATTAATAAGATCAAGTCAGGTAGAGCATGAAAGTCTTAAACTCAGGGTCCTGAGTTCGAGCCCCTGCCTTCCTCAAAAAGATGCCTGCATTGCAGGGGTTTGGACTAGATGACCCCTGTGGTCCCTGCCAACTCTGTTATACTATGAAATGATATTGACCTTAAGCCTACAGAGGAAAAATAGGCAATTATGTCCTTACTGCATTTAATTAATTGCTTGATTAGATTTATTCTTCTAGGTTCAAGGTGGACAGCAACTTTTTCTGTTCATTAAAGAAATACTCCAGATAACCATCTACCTGCCAGGTGTCTGCTTAGAAAGTTTTTCCATCACTTTAGGAAGCTGCTCAGGCTTGGACTTTTGTGCAAAAGTAGAGAAACCGATTTTCCAAAGCACAGAAGATGCTTGCCTTTTTTGTGCTTTCATGGTTCACGATCTGTGGATGGAAGGCATTAGCAAGAGGTCGTCACTGGTTAAGCTGAGAGTTCACCAGAAAAGATTTCTCCCTGTGATGTGGAGGGCTCAAGCTGTTTTAAGACTTTATAGGTCAACAGCAGCACTTTGAATTGCATTTGAAAGGTAACAAGAGGCCAGCACAGATCCTAAGGCAGTAGTGCAGTGTACTCCCACTAACTTGATGGCAGGTAGGGATGAAGGCCTGGTTCCCACATGCTTATATGCCACTTGACTGCAATAAGCTTGATGGACGGGCTGCTGAATGTGTGAACTGACTGCACCGAATAACGTTGCATTTAATGTGGAAGTTCTGACTGTCGCTGGTTAGTAGAACAGCCGTCCCATGAAGATTGATCATGTGCAAACTGCAGAACTAAGTGTGTTCCACAGACGTTTTCATCCCTGAATACAGGTGAAACTCGAAAAATTAGAATATCGTGGAAAAGTTCATTTATTTCAGTCATTCAACTTAAAAGGTGAAACTAAAATATGAGATCGACTCATGACATACAAAGCGAGATCTGCTTCTACTTCTCAGAGGTCCAATCTTGCTCTATTTGCAATCCTTGTTTTGATGATTTCCTTGAATATTCTAATTTTCTGAGATTGCTAATTTGGGGTTTTCATCAGCTGTATGCCATGATCATCACAATTATAACAAAGAAAGGCTTGACATATCTCACTTGGCATGTCATGAGTCTATCTCATATATTAGTTTCACCTTTCAAGTTGAATTACTGAAATAAAGGAACTTTTCCATGATATTCTAATTTTTCGAGTTTCACCTGTAGTTCCCCAAGGCTGCCCACCTAAACATTAGGAAGAACTTTCTGACAATAAGTGCTGTCTGACCATCTTCTAAGGTGGTGGACGACTATTTTCCATTTGAGGTTTTAAAAAAGGGGTTGGATGGACTTCAGCAATGGATTATTTAGCTGTGCGTCCTGCGCTGCAAGAAGACCCTTTGGGTCCATTTCCAACTCTCCAATTCTCTGATTCTACACAGGTCTAAATGATGTTTCCTTGGTTCCAGTTTAATATAGCTGCGGTTAGTTTTCAATTCATAACAGAACTGCTACCATGCAGTTCACACATAGCTTATCTAATTGTAACTCAGACTGTTCATTTGAAGCTACATCCAAGTCTGTCAAGCCAGAGTGTCTGGATATAATGTAGTTTATTCCCACTGAAGTATATGGATTGGCTTTCCGATACAGGGTCCAGGGTATTCCAGCCTAATTCCTCAGAGCACGTAAAACACATGAACCACGCACATAAGACCTCGCAAAACTCAGTAAATAATTACCTTCCTCATCAAAGTCGAATATTCAGGAGCACTACAGTGCTGATACAAGCCTGGAATGATTAAGTGTCCTCGGTTAGTTAAAAGTACATTGGAAAAATGGTATCAAATTTACAGTGCATATTACAATCTTGTGCTACTAGGAAACATTTTACTGGATGATTGCTATAAGCTGTGGCTCTGTTGGGAGAAATGAGAATGTTGGGAGGAATGAGAAGGGTAGTCTGGCCTGGCAAATGTCATATTATGTCTGAAGATGCATCCTTAGGCAAAGACAGTATCCCTGAAATGTGCTGAAGTGTGCTCTGTGGCCCATCCAGCTGTCCCCTCCCTGCTGGCTTTTATCGGCCAAGAGGGGCAAGGGTCCAAAGCACAAGTGGTCACCCTGACCGATCCAAGCACCTTGTCCACATCCTCAAGTTTATTAACTGAGACTCATCCAGCACAAGAGGACTAGACAGGACTCTGGATGTCCCTTGAGATTCATCTCCTGTAATAGTGGAGTCAAGATCCCGGTGGATGCAAGCAATTTTATCCTCAAAAACGCTTTGCAAAAAAGTCACAGTGTGCTACCATTGGCTCTGCCACCTCCCCTTGGGCTAGATTGTAAAAGCCCCACCAATACCTGGAAAACCTCTGTTGGATGACACAGTCAGTATGCCTTCTTTGCTGCCTTCACTGCCACTAGGTAGGTTGGACGATGAGCCCTCACCAGTGTCGGATTGCATTTGACCGGGGTTTTCCTCCACTCGTGTTCAATCCTTCTCCCAGCTTGTTTCCTCACCCTAAGCTCTGGACCAGTATACCAGGCAGTCAAGCTGGCCCCACAAAGCACAAGAACATAGGAGCCAACTTCTAGAGGCCATGGGGGCTTTGGTCCCCACAATAAAATATTTGTGCAGGCTGGGCCCCCACAAAGTTGATGGGCGTTCCCATTCAAATGGTGTGTGTGCACTGTGTCATGTGGTTGATTATGTAGGGTGGGGCTTACCTGCCCCCCCCAATATTTTATTCAAGTTGGCATCCCTGCAGAAGACGGCACTCAGGAGCGATCAGCCCAAGCCATTCAAATGTCCTGGAGGCCAGCCAGGGCTTTGACAGAAGCACCAGTCACAGCAGCTGGAAAATCTTCCAGGGCTGTCTGGAAATCCATTAGCTCCATCAGCCTCTGAGGGTGGGCCATTGGGTTTAATCCCCAGGTATTTATAGGACTGCAGCCTATGTGTCCATCTGTGGGTGTGCAACACTAGCAGTCAAGGACAATTGCAATTGCAGAGACATCAATAGCTTCTGTTTCACTGTCACTACCCCCGAGGGAGGGACCTTTCGCATTGCAACCTGTGTACCACTTCCTGCACAGTGACTCATAACTGTAGGCTGAAAAATCATCTTCAGTTCTAGTACTATGTTCAGCTTGTTTCTTCATCACATTGTAAATGACATTGCCGTCAAATATACAAGATCTCATAAAAATAATCCAGTAAAATATATCACTTGACCCTCCTTATCTCACGCTAGTAAACAGGGACCAACTCATAACACAACTCCAGGGCAGACAGTCTTGGAAGATATGAAGATATCTTGTTTCCAGTGGCGCTGTTTGTGCCAGAACAGGAAGAACAGAGGCAAGGTTCAACAGGAATGAAGCAAGTGATAAAGAGTAACGCTGATAAGAAGCCTACACCAAAGGGGCGTGAATAATCTCAATTTTTATTTTTATCCTGTTGGGTTTATAATGACCTGCTTGTATACAAGTTGGGTCTCCCCCCCCCCAAAAAAGGTAAAAAACCCACAATGAAACGGTCAGTAAGGAAGATTGCTAAGACATTGTTAGAGAATATGTTTCTGGATGAGTATTTTAGTTTTTGCTTGTTGCTATTTTTATATCTGGTTTTAACATCTTTGTTTTTATTGCGCAAGTTGCTTTGAGACACCTTAGTGCAAAAATGCAACTGATGGATATGATAAAAATAAAAAAAAAAATAAAGATAATGGAGTATGAGAAAGAATGCAAACACAGGAGATCTAATGCACACCAATCAGTGATACATCCACACTGCCATAGACCCATTGCAGGTGAACGTATATTTAAACCTATTTTTTGCAATCACAAAAATTGGGCTGCATATACCGTATTTTTCCATCTATAAGACGCCCTCATGTATAAGACACCCTCTATTTTTGAGGACTCAGATTTAAGAAAATGGGAGGGAGGGAGATGTATCTGTGTATAAGACGCCCCCTAATTTTTGACATTATTTTTTTGGGAAAAACCTAGTCTTATACACGGGAAAATACGTGATAGCTATGCAGATTGCTCCATGTTCAGCCTGTTCCAAACCTAGCACTGCAGTTTAGATGGGCCGGTCCTAAGACTTTGCGCTAGGATAATATAGAGCTAGTTCCCTCTCTATGGACAATTTATCTCTCTCCCCCCCCCATATCTATTCCTCTTCCAGGAATTCTGTATCCTAGCACCAGGAAGTGGTAAGGATGGGAAATTGCAAACACCTATGGCTGTATGCACTCCATGCGTTTAAATCACTCCCAAAGACTCATGGGAACTAGTTCATTTCTCATAGAGCTGCAACTTCCATCACCCTTAACAAACAACACTTCCCAGTGTGTGGGGAAATGTACCTTAAATGTATGCCATCAAAGACCACCAATAGCGATATCACCACCACCGTGTCATGGAGCACCAGAGACGTAGCACAAGCAAATTTGTATATAGTATCTCCACCCTGCCCAATTCTGAGGATGTTTTCTCCAATGCCTCTCAAATCCTCGAGCTGCGCTGCTGCACTCAGTGGGAGTTAAATGTGCTTAAATTTAGCTGGATTGTTTTTTATGATATATAGGGAAGTCTCTGACCAGTTATCCTGTACAAAAGGTCACAAAGATTTCCTCTGCCTCTGCAGCCTGAGACCCTATGAATTAGGCATAGCTATCTTCTTTGTGGCCCTAGAAAGCCATTTGGTAATGAAGTGCCTACTAAAATATGCATGATTAATTGGATTCATTAAACTTCAGGATAGAACAAATGAAACAAATGAGTCATTCTGCTATAAAGCCATCCTTTGATGTCTGCGTGTGCATGTTTCATAACACTCTGTGTGTGTGTGTGTGTGTGTGTGTGTGTGTGTGCGTGCGTGCGTGTGTGTGCGCGCACGCACACACACACACAATATTAGGAACAGGCCAAAGGGTTGAGGCAAGTCGAATGCCGGAAATCTGGCTTGCTGTTCCTATACTTTTCCTATTGTAATTGCCAACATCTTGAAAGATACTCTGCATAAAAGTGTTTGATTGACCCGTCTATCAAGCCAAAGCGGTGCTTTCAGCTTAATCTGAGGGTGATGTAAGGAATGAGGTCATTCTCCTTCCTTTCCAAAAATCCAATATTTTCTCCCTAAAATGTATTGCTTTAAGGCAACTAGGTACTCTTGGAAAAAATCCCTCAAAAAACCCTTTATCATAAGAAACAGATAACATTCCAAAATAATATGTTACAATGCTCAATGACATCAAATCTCAGGTGCAGGTGAGAAGGATTTCGATTGAGAATTATATTTTTGTCTTTCTCTGATGCCATCGTGAGGACTATCCTTAAATGTAGCATCTCCCAACTCCAATATGAGGGACTCTCAAACGTGTGTATTTATTGTGTATATATAGACTGAAATATTGAAAACGTATATCTTTGGAAAGGGGGGGGGGTGTCAGCTTGATTCATTACTCCCCAAAGTAGTATGGCAGCAGATTCTGTTATCAGTGAACCCATTTTCTCCTCACCATTTTTGCTTCTGGTTTGGCCTTTTGCCACTTTTATTTTTTTAACAGGCAGGTTTTACTATCTAGGCCCAGTTTCTTAGTAACATTAAACATGTGACATATGAGTCTATGACTGCATAACAGTTGCACAAGTACACACTTCCTGTTTAGTAAACTTCATGGAGGCTTTAAAGCTGCTCAGAATCAAATGATAAAGCCAGCTAGGAAGCAATACAAGTGTTCAGATCACTCATCTCATACCCTCCAACATTTCTCCAAAGAAAATAGGGACGTTCTAAGGAAAAGCGGGACATTCTGAGATCAAATCAGAAACCAGGACAGCTTCTCTAAATCTGGGACTATCCCTGGAAAATAGGGACACTTGGAGGGTCTGCTATCTTTCACTACAATGTTCGTTTTGAGAACAAGTGAGAATTATTTTTATATCGTTGTGAATCACAATACAGTAATACTTAATTTTACTTTTTGTGAAAATAATAATGAGTAAGCGATATGAACATAGCTATGAGTCCCCTATGGATGTTCTGTGTGAATGTCTCCATTTAATGCCATACTTTTGTAAACTTAGTATAAAATTATTTTTAAAAACTTTCATCAGTGCTAAAATTCCACCAATGTTCTCTTTTCATTGAATAGATATAGAAGAGAATGAGGTTTTGTTGTACATCTTCCATTCGGCTGGAAGACTATGCTAGAATCCTTCTCCCTAAGACATGTGGAATGTTTTTATATGGAAAATCATTCAAGTAAGCCAGCTCCCCAGTACAGCCTAGAACGTATACAGCCGAAACACAGGTTTACAACCTGAGAACCTGTCCATTTTCCTTCTGTGGTCTCCTGCTGTCTTTCTCCCATGCACTGTTATGCTTCCACCACCATCAGCACAAGAACAAGCCAGTGGTGCCGTTAAACCCTTAGCCTGGGAAGTGAATCAGTTGAGCAGCAGAATCCAGTTCTTGGAAATCAATGCCACACAGCCAGAACTTCTGCACAGTGAAGGAGAGGGGGTTATTTTTAATATGTACAGATGCATCTGGTCCCCATAACGCTATGATACAGATCTCTGCAACCTTTTGGTCTAGACATATTGTTATGAATCACTGTAATTACCAGTTCGCATGCAAGCAGGAGCAGTCGACTTCTTTATCTCCATGTCCCATCAAGTTAGCTTGCTTCCATTCCCACAAAACAAATCATCTGCGAGGTACCAAAATTAGAAAGAGAAACGCAAAGCAGAATTTTGGCCTGAGGGGCTAAGCATGAGATAATGAACTCTTGAGTACATCTCATGATAAAGATATCAGGTGTGCATTTTCGACATAAGTCAATATGAATGGTGCTGTGCTCTGCTTTAGTAATGCTCGCCTTCGCTGCTCCGTTCCGGAGAAAACAACGGCCACATTTCCATTTTCCAGAGGGACTGTCTGGACTCCTTAATCAATGCATTCAATGCTATGATACTTCAGGTGGAAAGAAATGGCTATGGAAAACGAAGTGTGCTAATGCAACATCTGAGTGGTTGACAAGACTCTAGTGAAGACTTGATGCATTTAATGACAGAGGCCCCCAAACCCAGCAAAGGCCTTTCACTTGGGCCTGCCTGTATCATTAAGCATCGACTTTTTAGCTGATCTAGAGTTTCTTTTATTATTTAGCCAGTTTACAAGTTATGGACTGAAAGATGGTAGGTTTCTGTCTGCAGACTGCTTAAATCAGGAATCCTGTGTCCCTCCAGAGACTTCCAACTGGCAGGGGAATTGGAATTCAGCAACTTCTGGAGGGCAACGGCTTCCCCTCCTGTCAGCTTAGGTGGTAGGTTCCATTTGCTAACAAGTGTGTTGTTTGAGGATTTTCTTGTTGCTACGGGGGGTGTGTGTGTGTGTGTGTGTGTGTGTGTGTGTGTGTGTGTGCGCGCGCTCCCATTAATATTTGTTTGCAGGCTATTATGTGCCCACACATTTAATGCATCTCTGGGCCTCACTAAGTGTTTATACCACAGTGCTTAGCACAGCGAGTCTGCATTTTAAACAGCTTCTGCGGCGAAGAGGCACCATTATGCATTTCATAAAGCATACGACTTAATCTTTTGAAGGACCGTGAATATCTGTGTATCTGGTCAGGAAAAGTTTCGAGTGAATACTTTTTGCCACTTAAGGATGTAATGATATTATTGTAGTTAGTGTATGTTAATCTATATCCTCCTTGCTAAGTGGCTAACAGCTGGAGCTGTACTTTTGAGCTTAAAAGGACTTCTGCTGACATCGAAAAGGAGAGGAACACTCCCTAAAACAGGCAACCTTGCTATTTATTAGGTATCAAACGGCACAAAACATTTCCCATACCGCTTTTGCCAAATGTTCTTTAGAAGACATCTGAAGGCAGCCCTGTTTAGGGAAGCTTTTAATGTCTGATGTATTATAGTATTTTAATATTTTTTTGGAAGCTGCCCAGAGTGGCTGGGGAAGCCCAGCCAGATGGGCGGGGTATAAATAATAAATCATTATTATTATAATTATTATTCTGTGCAATTCTTTCAGGGCCAGCTGGACAACATTTGAAGACTAGTGATGACTTAATGTCTTTTTCACAAAAGCTTTAAAGTGCCTGTGTGGCCCCTTGCATTAGATCATGGCTGTGGTGTGTATTACTCCTTTAACCCAACAATATTTGTCTGGCAAAAATTGCCCCCATTCCAACTGCTAGTAGGTTCTATACTGGCACCTGTGAGAAGTACCTTCTCATGCACCACAACCTTGACCCAAGCCCCTGCCACATTCCCCCAGTGATGGTTCACGGCAAGCCCATTATGCAACTCCAGGTGCCATCAATTTCCACTATGCCCAACCTTCTCAACACCTAGAACATTTAATATTAAGCCACTTGCAGCGAGCAAACTGTTAACTGCAGAACTTGCTGCTCTGTTTTTGGTGCATGCTAAAAACTGTTTTTGTTCAGGCAAGCCTACCCAGATATGTAACATTGACGTACACTTTAATATATAGTTTTTTTTTTAAAAAAATGCATATTTTTAACTGCTTGTTTTATTTACATTTTGAATTTTTAAGTCTACTTGTTCTTAACTTCTGACTTTTTATTGATAATTCTAATGTGCATTTTATGTAAATTGCTTAGAGGCTTTTGCAGTTAAGTGGAATATGAATTCTGTTACGTAAGTAAATAAAAATACTATACATTTACATAAACTTGTGAGCCAGGGCCTTAGACCACTCAAGTACTACTTAAAAAGTAATAAAATTTTGCATTCTTTCTTTGGTTTCTAAGCATATACATGAAGCACACATGCTGAAGCATTTCTTTCTTTCTTTAAAAAAATCCAAAATGGGGCAGCCTCTTGATTTCAGCAACAGGAGGGCAATGGGAAGCTTTTAGATAGCAGAAGTGAAGAGATTCCTAATAAATGTACAGATATCTATTTTGTATAATACACTTTTTAAACATACAAGAAAAAGACATTTGCATGCTTCAATAAATCAACTTAGAATGCTCTCGCAACAGTGGGTCTTTAAAAAAAACAACCCATCTCTTTTCATTAGTTTAACATATGCACAATTACAGAGTACATTTCCAGTCTTGAATTGCCTGTTTAATGCATAAAGTGGCCCAGGGTGTTAGGGATGTCAAGGGGCTCCCCCTTTGGGACCACAGGTGGGAGGGACACAGCACATAACGCATTGGCAAAACACCATGATTTGCACTAGAGCATGGACTCATTTCATGTGGGGTGGGGTGGGGAGAGTGTTAGATCAAAAAATGGTAAAAACCTCACGCGCACACTTCAAAATGTTTATTTCCCAATGCGTCTAGCATCAACCAAGAACCCAAGGATACCATCTGTGCCAAATGACAATGTGAGAAAGATGTGCAGAGAAGGATTCTCTGTGTCTGCCCACAACTATAAAATTCCCTCCACTGGAGATGTGCCAGAGTTTGAGCATCTTGCGAATATAGTTGTAAATCTTTTCATTTAGGCTGTCTCTCAATAACCAGGGTTAAGAGACTATTGAAGTGAGGGGAATGGAATTTAATTGTGTGATCTGGGGAAGGTTAAAACAGCCCCTGCATGTCACCCTAATGAAAGTGTTTGCAAATGAATTTCATAACCAAAAATTCCACGTACACTGCTGCACAAAGGCAAAAGGTCTTATCTCACACAGGGGCCCCAACCCTGAAAAATTCAGGAGCCTATGCCTGCTGCACTATTTAAATAAAAGGGATTAACAATGTGGGCAGTCAGGTTTTATAACACATTAGAGAAGTTGCCAAAAAAGAATTAATTCACAGCCTGAGACCAATAACAAGAAAAAGTAGTATTTCCAATTATTGCCATTTGCAATTAATTACTCCACTTCTGCCACAACCAAGTCACTCAAATAAAGAGAATGAAAAGAATATTTTTTATTAAAAATATGAGGAGAAACAAAACTGGGGTGGGAGGAGAATCTCACAGGCTAGCAAGCGCAACTGCCAAGGTTTTGTTCTTGTAGCTTGTAAGAACCGAGATACCAAATGAAGGGGCACAGAGAGAACCTATTGTTTTGATCAAAGGCCTGTTCTGAAAATGGATAGCATTTTCAGGGTTGCAAGTATAACGCTTGTGTAAGGAAAAACTAATTCAACAATGCACAAAAACAAACCACGGAAAGGAAAACGACACTTTTTCTTTGGCTTCATATTCCCTACTAGGCGATGAAAAAAAGACAGCTGCCCTCTGGCTTCCTTTAGAAAGGGTTATCATACAGAAGTCACATACCCAGTGATTCTCACATTAAAGGAACACACTGAGAAGCAACCAAAGTGAATCTCTACGGTGACCTACAACATTTAAGCTGTATTGAACCACGGCTGGGAAAGCCTTTGGATTGTATAAAATTGTGTTCCTCTGCTCATGGAAAGTTCTTGGCTCCCCAAAATTCTTTCAGTGAAAGGAAGGAGGCAGACGGCTTTTACGAATTTTCTCTTTCTTCTGCAGCCCCCTGTACCCCTTCCCACACTATTCCAAAGGGCTCCCACCCCCTGAAGCAAATTTACAGTAGGGGCTATCGGGGGAAGAGAGTAAGTGAGCATCAACTCTCACTTCTATTCACTAAAGCCTCCAACGCAGGGTTTCACAAATTTGTTTTTGGACTACAACTCCCATCATCCCTAGCTGGCAAGACCAGTGGTCAGGGATGATGGGAATCTTAGCTCGAAAACAGCTGGAGACCCAAATTTGGGAAAAGCTCCTCAAGTGGATTAAAGAGTCTTTCATGAGTGGAGGGACACAAACAGATACATTTCAGAATTTCTTGAATGCATGCTAATAGAGTTGATTTCAAAAGTGGGGAGTGAAGTTTTAGGAAGACTCCTTGTACCATACCTCTTGGTGATGCTTGCTAGATGCTACGCCACTTTTTTGCCTTGAGACAATTTACTGGGAGAGAAAGCTAGAGCAAGGACCTTAGAAAGCGTATTCTAGTGACTTTGAAACTAGAAAAATATGCAGTAAATGAAAACCAGCTGGCCAATAGCTGCAGCAGGAAGGTTTGCCCTTGATGGATGTTTATGTTTACCCTATGTACATCAGGCCTGCATGAGACCCAATACAAAAGAAAGGCAGACTGCAAGATCAGTAACAGACAAAGCTTCATAACCCACTCAACCTTCTCTCATCAACATCTTGAAACGTTACCACAAAGATACCAGAACGCAGCTCAGAGGCTCTTTGTTTAAATGCTACGGCTGATTCTTCTCTGCAAGTCAGACTTGCAACAACTCCAAAGGGTCAAACACGGTGCTACCAAACACAGCTGCTTGTAATGGCAGAGGAAAGCAGAGGTGCACCCTGCCTCTGTGGTTTCAGTCTTCTGTAACCCATTTCTAGTGGCCTCCTACAAGTTCTGGAGTCGCTCACCAAGACTGCCAACCTGTAAATCTGTTGTTCCTATTCTGTCCTGCCTCCTTAGGTTGACATTACTGTGACTAGATCTTGCCTCTGCAAAAGAGCAAAGCTTCATACAATCTCACAGCAAACATACCTACTGGGCTCTTGGGACCAAAGACTGAAGGTCCTTCAACTGGAAAAGGTTCAAGGAACCTGCAGAGCTCCAGATTTTGTTGGAACCCTAGCCAGCATGGACAAGGATGACAGAAAATGTGGCTCAACATTGGGAGGGTCAGTGGTTGCCTACCCATGCTTATTCCTGACTTAATTATATTATGCCATGTTCAGACTCTTCCAGTTGCGTAACACAAAGCAACAACTGCCTTACAAGATCTAGCTAAGCATGGCTAGCCCACTATCCCTATTTGTTGGTTTCTTTCTTTTTTAAGCACTGGATTCAGTTAGGATCTTGACTAAATTTAGACAGACTTTCTCCTCAAGCCCTGAAGAATTAAGCACACAAACTAAGAAAGCTTGCATGCTGCCATTTAAACCATACAACTTGTGGAGTTTATTGATTTAGTTACACCTGAAGACCCAGGATAATCATCTGGTTGAGTTATCAGTGACCCTTAACCTTGTTAAACACCTTTAAAATACTGAAAGCTTCCACCACAGTGAGTATCTTTAAAATACTGAACATGACACTGCAAACAATAAAACATCGTAATAAAAAAGGATATATAGAAAATATATTTGGTCATTCAAACATCCTCCCCTGGAAATATTTTGATTGAACAATTGAGAGCCTAATCTATCAGAAACTTTCATGCAAGTTCTACTGAAATTAAGAAAAGGAAGCATACCAGAAAAAAACCCATAATTGTGCTTCAACAAAGCTTGCGTAACATATGCTCCCAATAGATTGTACCCGAAAACAACCCAAATCTGCAAAATTACCTATACCAGGACGGTCCCAAAATGAATACATAACAAAACTAGGAAGGTACACAGTAGCTTGACCTAACCACAAACAAACATATATATATATATATATTAATTTGGGGAAAGTTAAAAGAGATACACATTTAATCACAGGAAGCTAATCAAAGTAGTTTCTAAATGAACTAGTTCTGCGTCTTTATTTATTCTCCAATGCTGTATAGTCTGGTGTTTCTTTACACTAATCTCCATCCAGACTGCCTCTCCTCCCCACCACAAATTCTCCACTGCACCTCAGTTAATATAAATTCACATTCAGAAATGATAATTTCCCCTATTCAATCAAAACAAGACTCCCCCCTTTTAAGGCAGCATCTTAATCCCAGGAAATATTAAATATTTGTCTTCCTATGAGCGTGGGGTGCAATTCTCCAAAATCTTCCAGTCAGACACAGTCCTTGTTCCTGAACACCACATGGCAATAAGGATTTGATGAGTCGCACTCCAGTATTGGAAACAGCCAGAAACTCATCAAACAAGGTAGCTATGCTTGACCGGGACATCTTTTTCTTCAGTCATAGCTCTCCGTTGCGTTTCCTCGCATATAAGCCCAGGCAGGCACATAATCCAATGCAACTAAGAAACATAACCAGGAGTAGGGCTAATGCATCGCCCGTATCCATAGCTGCCACAACAGGCAGCCCGATCAGGAGTGATAAAAGCACCAAGAAGAGATGGGAAGCATTCCTGGTAGCGCCCATGTTCCCAATCATTGTTGATCCGATGAACCTGAGTGAAGGGCTAAACACAAGAGGGGTGGGAAAGAGAGGGAAAGTTTGTCAACTTCACAACTGGCATGACTTTTGAGTATTGCTAAAAAAAAGTAGTACTCCTGCTCCCACCCACTTTGTGAGGCGTTGCTTATGATTGGCAGGAACCTTCCAAGCCTCAGAAAGAGACAGGTGGGACCGGCAACAAAATGTTTCAGTGTGGCGTTTTCACTATTCCAGTCAGCCATGTCCTTCAACAGCCCAATACATCCCACCCTCCCCTCATGCATGGCTTGCTGTTCACCTCCCCACAGTTATTTTGTATTCTCTGACCACTGAGCATGCTCAGTCTCCCCTGAGCTGTGTTTGGGGTTGCCCCTCCTCTCAGGAGCTTTTCACCATAATTTTTGTACGTAAGAAAATCTCAGGGCTTTGTCAAGTCTGCTGATACTTTCCTCTTGTGCATGAGAGTTGCCATTTTGGCTACCTACGTAACAGGCACTTGTGCCTGAGCATCAGAAACAGAGGGAATAATTAGTTGAACAATGCAGAGAACAGGGAGAAAGGAGACGATGACAGAGTGAGATATTTATTGGTTGCTTATTATCTTAGGATTTAAAGTTAATTTATTATTGATAAAAATACTTATAAACTGTCATCTCCCCCCCCCCCAAAAAAATCATGGCAGCATACAATAATTAAACAACTTAAAATTCTAAGAACATAAAGTAGAGAACACATTACCAACACCAAATCAAATTAATTCTTTTAAGAACACCCGACAAAATAAAAATGTTTTCAGCAGGTAGTGAAATATCACAATGGAGGGCATTTGTCTGATTTCAATACAGTGTTCCAAATTATTTGTGCCACTATGCTAAATGTATTGGTTTGCACAGCAACTATTTGAATAGCTAATGTGTTATGGAAATTCCAGCTCACTAGAATCCTAGAATTGTAGAGTTGGAAGGGACCACAAGGATGATCTAGTCCAACCCCCTGCAATGCAGGAATCTTTTTGCTCAACACAGGGCTTGAACCCATGACCCTGAGAGTTAGAATCTTATGTACTACCAACTGAGCTATTTTGATGAAAGAACATGCATTTATTGAGAATTCATTTATTGACAATTTTCTTCATGACAACTGTTTTGGGGGGTGATGGATGGAGTAATGTGGAGGCCACAGCAGACTGAGTGAAACAGGAAACAGGTACTGCAGATTAATAATCTGAAGTGAAAACTGCATTAATATTTTTTTTTAAAGTACTACAATAAAAATGACAGCTCATCTACTATATATTTTGAAAAGGGGTTTGTCTGTCCATCTGTTCTCTACACATTTGGACACCTCTCAAGATATCATTGCTAAACTTGGCACGAGGCGTTTCTGAGGTGGGGGCCGTGCTATCTGTCCATGTTTAGTTGCTGGCTGCCATTTTGAATCCAGATGGCTGGCTGACACATGACTTTTCTGTGACTGCACCCATTTTTTGGCATAGGCTTGGCTCTCTCTTGAGATAGCATTGCCAAACTCTGCTTCAGGGTTTCCGAGATGGGGGCGGCAAACTTAGTTGCTGTTAGGATGCCAGGCACCAATTTGATCCAAGATGGTGGATCAAAACATGATTTTGCCCCATTTTTGGCACAATAGGTCCAAACTCGTAAACTGCACTATTTAAAAAACAAAATGTTTGTTGGTTTCTAAAAATAGACATTCCCTGTTAGTTTACTAATACAATGCTTTATTTAAACACAGCAAATTTAAGCTTTACAATAAGGGAAGTCTTATATTAAGCAGCCATGTATTTAAACACTAGCCTGGTAGCCATAAAATACAAGAAACACATGCAGGCAAGTGTCCAGCTGGAGGAGAAAGGGTGGAGCATCCCATTGGCTCTGTGCCTGCCAGAGACCCCAAGTGGGTTGAGGTCAGTGGTAGGGCTCAGGTCTAAACCCCAACAACACCAGGTTGGTTAGGAAAGGTTTGCTGCTCAAAACCCTGGAGAGATGCCAGTAGTCAGCTGACTTAGATGGAACAAATGTATACGGCAACTTCCTATACCACAGCAGGAAAAGCTCCCTCATTCACATGCTTCACAAAAATACAGCAGGAACAGAACTCTCTATCCTCTTCCTACAGATTCCCAGAAAAAGGGTAAAACATTGAAACAGTAAAACAGCAAAACATTTTGACGGGTGTATATATAAGGATACAATAACAGAGGATTTTCTTCAAGCAACAACGCAAACACTAAGGTCTAAATGGCGGACTAAGACTACAATCTGTAACCCACATACCTGGGAGTAGATCCATAGCTGTCAACTTTTCCCTTTTCTTGCGAGGAATCCTATTCGGAATAAGGGAATTTCCCTTTAAAAAAAGGGAAACGTTGACAGCTCTGAGTAGATCCACTGAGTTCAACAGGGCTTACTTGTAAGCAGACAAGGTGAGGATTGAACACTGCGATCCCCCCCCTTCTCAAATCAACAAGGAATGCGATACTTCTCTTAAAAGTAAGCAATGCCTAATATTTAAGGAAGCATTGGTTGAAGGGGATTCCAGCCCATGAAAGTTTATGCCCTAACTGTGGACTCTGCAGTTTCTGTTGCTACAGCAAACCAACATGGCTAACTACCCCTGTAGGAAGAGAGCAAGCTATATCCTTGGATAACACGGCAGTCCCACGAACACAACCAGCAGTACCTTACCGGCGGGTAACAGCCTGTGTATTTAGGGTATTCCCTGGAGTGGTTGGCGCTGGGATCTTAGGAAGCTGACAGCCGTCCTGGACAACGCCTACTACTAAAAAAGAATAAGGGAGAAAACACATAAATCAGGCAAATCAAATCATCCTGAAACCACCCGAGGCCAGGAGGGAAAAGCTCCGTGCTTGGGAGTCACGCGCAGCGACACACGACATGGCCAGAAAAGAAACTTAAGCTGCAACTGGGAGTAACTTGGGGGCTCAACCTGTCAAGTTTTTGCTCCAAACGGGGAAAAGGGCGATTTGAAAAGCATTCGGGCAACTTGGAACCCCAGAGCGGCTGCACCGGATCCTCCGGCGCCCCGTCTGCCCACCGATCCCTTTTGAGTAGCACGGGAGCCAAACCCGCCTTACCTTCCTGGAAGCGGCCATTACAAGCAGGGAAAGAGGAAGAGCGAGCGATTGGTTTGCGCCCTTCGGAACCGCCGGCGACTACAACTCCCGTCATGCATTGCGGGGGCTTCCCTGTTAACCCTTGATTAACCGCCCCGGTTAGGGCTTTTGCTAGAAATCCCGAGCAGGTTTTCAGCGCTACTCTATTATGATGAAGTCAGAGGAGAAGGAAAGCAGCCGTTTGCAATGCTTGCCTTTTTCCCTTCCAGCTTTCGGTTGCTTGGCGCTGCTTGAGCATAGGTTTAGAAACAGAAAATGAAAAAAGGCGGTTTGCGTGATGGATTGCAGTCTTCACGCTGCTTTTTGAAGGCTCGCGGATTTCTGCTGACCGACTAATTGAATCCATTGTCGGCTTTTGACACCGGCGTGGGAGCAGCAGCAGACTCCGTGAGCCTAATAATTGTGTTGTGAAAAGAAAGCGCTGTACGGCAAGTGGAAGGTGGGTGTGGAATCGCCCTAATGTAATACTTGATCCGGAGATCTAGCAGGGAAAAGAGCTATAAGCCAGCATAAACGGATGTCTCTCCCACTGCATTCTTGGTTCTGGGCGTTGCGGCCATACTGTCCAAGTTCTAGGTCACAGAGATACGCTTTTAGGGTTGCCAGTTCCAACCACCTCTACCATGGGCATAGTCAGGATTTATTTTAGGGGGGAAGGAAACCCACCCATCATCAGCCTCCGTCCGGCTCTGTCTAGCAGCAGATTCGGAATGGAATGTCCCGACAACAGTTGTTTTCACTTTTTTTCGACTCCCAGCTTCTCAGAAAAATCTGTCCAAATCGTCAGTCATTTAAAAACTAGGAAGTTAAATAAAATTAACATCAGGGAGTACCTTTCGTGCAGTTAACAAGTATGATTAGCAAAATTACAAAGAACACAACTCCCCCCCCCATATTAAAAAAATATATATAATCTAAAACAAGTTTTTTTGGATTTGCCAAAAACCGTTTCAGCACTCCCTTCTCAAAATTCATCCTTTTTCCATTGCAGTGAGCATTTCAATCTCAAATACTCTGATTATTTCTATTTTTAGTTGAGTATTTTTTATTTTTTTACTTAATTTTGTGTGTGTGTGTGTGTGTGTGCGCACTACTGTTCTTTTCCCTGAGATCACTAGGCTCCAGCCAGGTGAGGGGAGTGGGTGGGAATGCCTACCCTCTTTCTTGGAGAGCACCATCATTCCTTGAGATAATAATAATAATAATAATAAAAAAAAAATATATTTATACCCCGCCCATCTTGGGAGGCTTCCAACAAAATATTAAAATACAATAGTCTATTAAACATTAAAAGCTTCTCTAAACAGGGCTGCCTTAAGATGTCTTCTAAAAGTCTGGTAGTTGTTTTTCTCTTTGACATCTGGTGGGAGGGTGTTCCACAGGGCGGGTGCTGATGAGCACTTAACTGGCCAGCTACAGCCTTTACCTCGATAAAGGGACCAGTTTGGCAGGCTTCCTTTTGTGCATTCTACCTTCACAGATACAGAAATGAAGGCTTGGGAAGGGACCCAGGGTTCCACCCAGACAGAACCCCCTGCAAACTCACAACATCCATAAGGGAAGGACTCATTGATAGAGCCTCCTGGTAAGAGTTGGTAAGGGATTCTTGGACATTCCGCTCCTGGGCGGAAAGCCAGGCTAGACACCTAATAAATATATGAACTAATATTTTCTAAGGTTGGCCTGCCTGATTGATGGAGATGTTTATGTAATTCAGGAAATCATACACATACAGCATCTTCTGATTTAGTGGCTGGATTTTATTTTTATGAAATTCATCATTTTGCACAGTTTCTGAGCCTGTAAGGTAAAGGTACCCCTGCCCTTATGGGCCAGTCTTGACAGACTCTAGGGTTGTGCGCTCATCTCGCTCAAGAGGCCAGGAGCCAGCGCTGTCCGCAGACACTTCCGGGTCACGTGGCCAGCGTGACGAAGCTGCTCTGGCGAACCGGCACCAGAGCAGCACACGGAGACGCCGTTTACCTTCCCGCTATAAAGCGGTACCTTTTTATCTACTTGCACTTAAGGGTGCTTTCGAACTGCTAGGTGGGCAGGAGCTGGGACCGAACGACGGGAGCTCACCCCGCTGCGGGGATTCGAACCGCCGACCATGCGATCGGCAAGTCCTAGGCGCCACCCGCGTCCTTCTATTCTGAGCCTGTACTGTTCACCTAATAGAAGGCTTGGCCTACACCAATATTCATAATATTGTACTCTGTGTATATGGAGGGCCTTTTCGTGTTTTATTAAATTTCTGAATGATAAAGCATATTTCTGGTTGTAGACATAGTACCTAAGCTCGGTTTCTACGTATTCAATATCTGGCAGGAAGCTGTCCCTGGCCGATTCTTTGCCTGTTTTAATGAGTGAGGTGGCACTTAGAAATCACCCTCAGGAAACACATTTAAAGGTGTCTCAGATGGTGGTATGTTCTATACTTGGGGTGTTATTTTCTTTTAAGAATTGAGAGATGACTTTGAAAATTGCTCCTGTAAAAGAGCAAAGAGTATAAAAAGTGACCACAGGTGATGGTATCATTGCTTCCCACCTTTGTGCTTTTCTGGGTTCAGATAACTCTTTCCATATTTTAGGGCATGCTGACTTCCTGATCAATCAGCTTTTAGAAAGTGTCAAATACGTTTGCTCACATTTTATCAACTGAAACCATTTCACACCCCACAGCTAAGTGGTATAACATGTAAGCAAACTTATTGGTACCCCCCGCCTCTTTAATAAAAATTACAGTATTTGTATAATTTCAGTAATGTATTGTGAACTTAACACTTTACATTTCACCTGTGTTCTTTATGGCAACATTGTACTTTGTATCTTAAGCAAACCCCATT